CTTAGTGCATTCTTGCCAAAATAGCCAACATTTTTGGCTTTTGCACCCTCTTACAGTACTTCCCAGAGGTTAGCTATCATCAGGCTACTCTTGGCTGAGCATGCTTAACTAAACAATGCTAACAGGAATCTGTGGCGCTGTTTCTGATAGGCTTAACCCTGGTACTCTACTGTTTTAGTTCCTTCTTGACTCTAGCCTCATCTCAAGGATCTACCTGTCAATACTCAGTCTGTCTCTGTATCACACAAGGTTCTTCCTGCATCTAGAGCTAGCCTGAATGTCTCTTTTTCAGGTCTTATGGCTCTAATTCTTCTAACTTTAGCTTTCCTCTGTTAATCGGAAGGAAATTAAGACTAGCCTAATCAATGATAAGATTATCTGGAAAGAGGTCATGGTTACTCTCTTAGTACTGGTTTACAACTGAAGGGGGTTTCCACATCCTCAACTTATCCCTGGTCCTCATCTTCCCAAAGAGTTACCAATCTCTGGGAGACTTAGACCATAGGACTAAGTAAAGTCACCTCCTCCCAGCTGGTCACCTAACTGATAATTCCTCAAAACTGTTCCAAGAACTAATACCATTCTCTTAGACCTCATGTTAATTTCCCAGGCCACCTATTTGTCTCTTTAAGTGCCTAAGCCAATCTGCCTTAGGAGTTTTTTTACTCCTCCAGCTGCTCTTACTGTCTCTTACTATTTTAGAGTGGTACAGATAGAGGACTTATGCAACTTCTCTTTGTTCTACTTTACTTTTTAGTATGAGCATATTCTAACATGCATAATGCCTGACATTTCACTACAAGGAGTGTAAACTCTTACTGGTTGCTATGTCCATAGCGTGCCATCTAGACATCTTATACCTATAAGAGAGAGCCTCTCTTTCTGTTCTTAGCTGATTCTAGAAGTCATAGGGAGAGGACTTATGAGGTTCTTCTTCTTTCTGTTTGCTCTAGCACTCTGCTAAGCTCAGGTACATCCAAGCCTAGCTTTGCACTTAGCTAGTCATGCTTCCCTTGGGTGAAGTCACTACGCTTGTCTTGCCTCAGCTGCTTCCCTTTCCCACTCAGATAGGGTATCTTGCTCCATCGAGAGTAACATCAATTTTGACTTTTCTCTAGGAAGATTCCTGGCCAAGACCTTATCCCCTAAAAGGTTGCCTCTCAACCTAACCCCAAATGACTAAGTATCTCTGAACATTATTGGGAACATGCCAACCTCTAAGCTAGCTCCCTACACAGCTATCTGTTTCTTTCTCTTCTTGATCCTTAAGAAATTTCACTAGGGTTTTCCATCTTGACTTCACTATCTCCAAGTTCCTATTTATCTATTTCGGGACTTGAAATAGCTACTCTATCATGGTGCCCTAGTCTTAATGAGGCTGTAAGAGTTTTTCCAGCTTAGGTGGCCACCCCATCTTCTTAATGATGTATAGACTCAACCCCTAACTATCTTGTTTAACTCCTTATCATTACTTTTCCCAATCTATCACCGAAATGATGCCTTGAATTCCTGTCCTCTCTATAGTATATATCCGTCAGATAGAGCACCAAACGTACCTCACCCTAGTAATTCCTCTCCTCTCTTACCTTTAGTTGCTTAGTTTCAGGTATGGAACAGAAAGAGAGCATGGCAAATCATTCAATCGACCGCATGTCTGACAGAACAAGCAAGATGCTGAAAGTTCAACTGGTCGAAGATCTTGTTCAAAGACTGATTGCAAGGCAAGCGTGCATGTAAAAAGAAGGCCTGATGGAAAATGGGTAGTTCACAGTTTTGTGAAGGAGCATAATCATGAGCTTTTGCCAGCTCAAGCTAAAACTAGGCATGACTATATGAACTTTTGTGATGTGGTTTCTTCTGATATAATCTATGCTATGAACAAATATAAGTTGCCTCTCTTGCAATTTTGTTGGAGTAAATCTGCACTATCAATTTTTACTGGTTGGGCGTGCCTTAATATCAGATGAAAGTTGTAACTTGATACAGAATATTTGTTGTTTATTACGGATCATGTTAATAAATGGTAGAAGGGTTTGGTGTTAAAAGATCTTGTAGAGGTGGTTGGTTGTATTGTAGTTCTGATTCTTTAGGCTGCATGTTAAGTTATAATGAGAGTATTGTAGTTTGTCATGAAAATTTTCAAATGTTTTTCATTTTCCATTAGTTCATGTTTCATTTATCGTCACTTTCTTTGGCTTCTTTCCTCCCAGTTAAAAGGAGGAATTCCTACATACACTCCTTGCAATTAAGATAAATAGTCAAAATTTGTGCATTAGCAAACGCTATGATACTTTCTGATTTGAGTTTCCTTTAGTTCCTTACTCATTTACAGAGAAGGAATGAATGAAGGACAAAAATCAAGGCATGATATAAATGTAATGGCTTTGATTCAGTTATATAAACTACATGATGCTATTTATGCTTTGTGAATTACATCTCTTAAGAGATATTTATTAAGAGATTCAGTTCAATAGCTTCCTTGAGTATCTTTATGAGCTTTACTAATTTTTATAGGATTGAAGATCATATGCTCTGCGCACACCTGTCATTTTTGCCACTCGAGCAAATAAAATTCATAACCTTCTTTATAAAAGAAGATACATGTGCTATTGAGCCATAAAGTTATTAGTAGTCATGGATAGGTTTTGCAAGGCACAATAAATCAGGTCACATTAGAGTTCCAAAAATCTGTAGTCTATTGGTGGATTAATACTTCAAAAAGATCTTACCTAAATTATATAGAGTTAAGGTGAAAATTTGTCTTGAGAATTTTCACTCATAAGCATTAGGCATTTGAAAGGTTTTTTTTCTAATTTAATATTACTCCAAAAGTTTGAAATCGTAACAATGTTGAGTTGTGCTGTTAAAAAAATTACTGTTGACACTTAAAATAATAACATTGACTGTTAATATTTTTAACGGTATGGGACAAAAATTATTATAATATTTAATCTTTTGGGATAACATTGAACCCAAAAAAAAATTTTGGGTGTCTGGTACTCCTAAATAAAAACTTAGTTAACAAGTTTATACCTTAACCATGTTATATATAGTAGGCGTTTTTCTAATCATCATTCACTTGTGTATGTCTGTGAAAAAGGCAGTTTAAACTAATTCAAGCATTTTATGTTAAATTATTAATAACTCTAAATTTATATTGTCTACGGATAAATTTTCTAGTCAATGAAACTTACAATATACCCACTAATATATTATGTGGATGCATATGATCTTCCTGCTATTAGTTTTGTTTGCAACTTGTCTGCAGTGAACTTAAAATTTTAAAAAATTATTAGCACATGACTCAGAATTTGATGGTGTATACGTACGAAAATAAAATTTAAGAGAGCATATAATTAATGATTAGGAGGGTTTTTTTAATTAGTTTTAAAGGTTGAGAATTTTATTTGTATTTTATTTAAAGTTTAACAGAATTTTGTGTGATTCATCTTAAATTTTTTAAAATTGTTTTTGTTATTTTTTCTGAAAATGTTACTTCTTTCCAATTTTATCATTATTAACTATATAATGATAGAGTTTCCAAAACTATTCTGTAGCTTACGTTATTAAAAAAAAGGATAAATTTAGAAAAAAAATAGTTAACATTACGAGATTGGCTATTTTGATAGAAACACTGTTTTCAGAAACTATCTTTTTTTTTTTTTTGGACTGTGAAATTGTCTTACGTCTACGGTTAGAGAGCATTTGTATCCCTTTGTCCTCACTCACCCAATTGCCCATATTGATTTAAATTTTAATAGCAAAAAAGAATAAAGTTAGATTTTTAATGTTAAAAAAATCATTACTATTTTATAATAATGTGTCACTTTTGTATTTTTCTGGTTCCATAGTGTTGTGTTGATAAAAAAATATATGAGGCTGATACAAGCATTTAAATAAGCTACTGATATCTAATAATTTTCTCCTTCTAAAGAGTTATTTTGTTATTTATAGTTGACTCTATTGTTATTCATAATAACTTGGATCTTTAATATAATATTCGGGTTAACTTATTTAGAAAGATTAAAAAATTAAATAAATTATTTTAAAAATTTATACTTATTATTTTTTTCCAAACTAATTTTCTTAAATTATAAACAAGTACTACATCTGATTGTTAATATAAGACTCCAATCTATTTTATCTATCATATTTATTTATTATTTTCAATATAATTATTATAGTAGTTGCACATGTTAAAAATTTCACCAATTGATAGCTTTAGCTAATATACTTGATTAGGAAGTTTAAAAAAGGTAACATCTATTTATTACAAATAACTAATATAACTAATTTCTTTAGTAAACTATATTTTACATTAAGAATTGAAAGTAGTATATAATATATGATTGTAAATATATAATTTAATGATACACTCAAATATTTCATATGATGATATAATATAAGTTATTTAATTATAATTTATTTAACTTATTCAATGTCACTTTTGATTGACATTTTAATGTTAGTATGGACACATATATCTGGTGGCCAAAAATTACAAAAACAAAATAGATGGGTCAATAGACCCCCGCCCCCTTTTTCTTTTTGAATGAAGTCAAAATGATACAAATAGTACTTTTTTTTTACAACGATATAAATAATAAAAATGCCTTGCTTTCCTTGCTTCTTTTAAAAGTGATAAATAAATTAAAAATAATAATTCTCATATATAAATATGATCAAAATTGAAACCCAATTGGAAAATTCTTAAAATTACCCTATAATAAATTGAGGTAAAAAATTAACTTATAAAATTTAGATGGCGAAAAAAAAAAAACTGTAAAACTTAGGCTAGCGAAAAAATTACTTAGAATTAAAATAATTTCCTTACTGATTCTTTTTTTATTTGGCATTATTAGTGTCTCGAAAAGCTAAAACTAAACCTATCCGAAGAAAATTTCAGTGCGTCTCTGGTGGCAAGAAAGCCTTCGTCTTCCTCGTCCAATTCTGCGTTGAATTCTTTGTTGGAGGATCTAAATTTCTGAATGCAACTAAAGATGTCATGTTGCAGAGCTCCGTCACGGTATGTCTTCTGTCGATTTCCTTCGTTTTCTTCCGCGTCTACGTCTCCCTTCCTTATTTCTCCTTCACATGCCCTAACTGCCTGCCTCTGTTTACATTCCAATTCCACAAATCCTCAGAATATTGAAGAGGCTGTCTCTTCTTTTAATCGCCTGCTTCGTGTGCGCCCCCCACCCTCTATATTCCAAATCACTAAGATCTTAGGATATGTTGCGAGGTTGAAACAATATCCTACAGCTGTCTCCCTTTTTGCACAAGCGGAATCTAAGGGATTCACGCCATCTCTGGTTACGCTGAACATCTTGATTAATTGTTACTGCCATTTGGGTCAAATGACTTTTGGTTTCTCTGCCTTAGGCAAGATTCTTAAGATGGGCTGTCAGCCAGATACGATTTCTTTGACCACACTAATGAAGGGCCTTTGCATCAATGATGACGTTGGGAGGGCATTAGATTTTCATGATGATCTGACAGCAAAAGGTTTCCACTTAAATGTTGTTAGCTACAACACACTGATGAATGGACTATGCAAGATTGGAAAAACAAGGGCTGCTGTTAAATTACTCCAAAACATGGGGAGAGGGCCCGTTAAGCCTAATTTAGTTTCTTATAATACAATTATTGATGGCTTTTGCAGAGAAAGGCTCATAGCTGAAGCCTATGATTTATTTCATGAAATGATTGATCATGGAATATCTCCTAATGTTGTGACCTACAACTCTCTCATAAGCGGTTTTTGTGTCCTGGATAAATGGTCAGAAGCAGCAAAATTGTTTAATGAAATGAGACTTAAAGACATTAACCCTGATGTGTGTACTTTTAATATATTGGTCGATGCATTTTGTAAGAAAAGAAGTATGACTAAAGCTGAGGCTATCGTTGCCACGATGATGAAGTGCGGTGAAAAACCTAATGATTTTACTTATAACAGTTTAATGGATGGGTACTGTTTGATTAATAATGTTTTTGAGTCAAAAAAACTGTTCAACAAGATGGTTGAAAGTGGTTTTGCTCCTTGTGTTATTAGCTATAACATTTTAATTAATGGACTCTGTAAAATGAAGATGGTTGATGAGGCCATGAATCTCTTCAAAGAAATACGCCGTAAAAGCTTTATTCCCAATATTGTCACTTACAGCTCCCTTGTTGATGGTTTGTTCAAGTCAGGTAGAATCTCTGATGTGCAAGATATTATTTATGAGATGCATGATAGAGGTTGTGCCCCAAATATAGTATTTTATAGTACCTTGTTAGACGGATTGTGCAAAAGTCACCATCTTGACCAGGCAATTTCATTATTCAGGCAAATTGTTAAATAAGGAATTCAGCCTAATACTTACACATATACCATACTTATTGATGGTTTGTGTGAGGGCAACAGATTAAACGATGCACGACAGATTTTCCAACATCTTTTGGTTAATGGTCATCCTTTGAATGTCCAAGCATATACTACTATGATCAAAGGACTTTGTAAAGCGCGTTTGTATGATGAGGCAAAGGCCTTGCTTTATAAAATGCAAGAGAATGGGTGCTCGCCTGATTTTGTAACTTTTGAAACAATTATTATACCTCTTTTAGAAAAAGGTGAGAATGATGAGGCAAAGAATCTGATTGACAAATTGTTCATCAAGGTCTCTTGAAATGATAAAAGAAGGTTAGTCACTCTACTCCAAGATTGCGTTACTTGTGTTTTTACTGATGTCAATTTCACATTTCTTTTTAGTCATATGTTCATATATATCTAGTTTTAACTTTTGTTGTAACTGGTCGTTTCTTTTGTTTTTTGGCTTGACATATGTTTGATGCGGCACGCTCACACATGCTAGCATCTATCACCGAAATGATGCCCTGAATTCCTGTTGACGGTTTCAGGTATGGAACAGAAAGAGAGCATGACAAATCATTCAATCGACCACACGGCTGACAGAACAAGCAAGATGCTGAAAGTTCAACTGGTCGAAGATCTCGTTCAAAGACTGATCGCAAAGCAAGCGTGCATGTTAAAAGAAGGCCTGATCGAAACTGGGTTATTCACAGTTTTGTGAAGGGGCATAATCATGAGCTTTTACCAGCTCAAGCTAAAAGTAGGCATGGCTGTATGAACTTTTGTGATGTGTTTACGAACAAATATAAGTTGCCTCTCTTGTGCTTTTGTTGGAGTAAATCTGCACTGTCACTTTTTACTGCTTGGGCATGCCTTAATATCGGATGAAAGTTGTAATTTGATACAGAATATCTGTTGTTTATTAGGGATCATGTTAATAAATGGTAGAAGGGTTTGGTGTTAAAGATCTTGTAGAGGTGGTTGGTTGTATTGTAGTTCCATTCTTCATCAGAGCATTGTAGTTTGTCATGAAAATTTTTGAATTTCTTCATTTCCCATTAGTTCATATTTCATTTATGGTCACTTTCTGTAGCTTCTTTCCCCGGATAAGAGGAGGAATTCCTACATTCACTCCTTGCAATTAAGGTAACTAGTCAAAATTTGTGCTTTAGCAGATGCCATGATGCTTTCTGATTTGAGTTTCCTTTAGTTCCTTACTCATTTACAGAGAAGGAATGAATGAAGGACAAAAATCAAGGTATGAAATAAATGTAATGGCTTTGATTCAGTTATATAAACTGCATGATGTTATTTATGCTTCATGAATTACATCTCTGTAGAGATATTATTTATTAAGAGATTCAGTTCAATAGCTTCCTTGGGTATCTTTATGAGCTTTACTAATTTTCATAGGATTGAAGATCATATGCTCTGCTCACACCTCTGATTTTCGCTAGGTGAAATTCATAACCTTCTTTTTTAACAGAAGATACATGTGCTATTGAGCCAAAAAGTTATTAACAGTCATGGATAAAGTTTTGCAAGGCACAATAAATCAGGTTACATGAGAGTTCCAAAAATCTGTAGTCTATTGGTAGATTAATACTTCAAAAAGATCCTACCTAAATTATCTAGGATTAAAGTGCAAATTTGTCTTGAGTAGAGTTAGTAATATGGGTTAAACGTGCGGGTCCAACCCGCCAACCCGCAAAAAATGGCGGGTTAGGATTGAACAAAAGCCAATCTTCCAGTAAACAAGCTTTTTTAACCCATATTGCCAGACCTGCAACCCTTGGCGGGCTAATCCTTTTTTTAAAAATTTGTTAATCATTATAATTATATTATTATATATTTATCCTATCTAAAAAATTAAAAAAATACTTATATAATTTATTTGGTGCTTTCAATCAAATACTTCAAGAAAAACAAATAATTTATTATTTATATTGGATATTGTATGAGAAAAAAATATTAAAAAAATTAAAAATTAAAAATAATAATAATAAGTGTTGATGGGTTGGCGAGTTAACCCACTAACTCACCTTGACAGGTTAAGGTTGGCTAAAAGCTAACCCGCCTTCAAACAAGACTTTTCAATTCGACCCGTTATGAGCTAACCCCTAACCTGTGAGTTAGTCCATATCATCAGCCCTAGTTTTGAGAGTTTTCAATTGGGAGCATTAGGCATTTGAAAGGTTTTTTGAGGTCAATATTACCCCGGAAGTTTGAAATCGTAGCAATTTTGGCCCTGTACTGTTAAAAAACTAATGTTGACCCTTAAAATAATAATATTAACCATTAATATTTTTAATGGTATGGAACAAAAATTGTTACGATATTAAACCTTCAGGAATAATATTGAGCCTAAAAAAAAAATTTAGATGTCTGGTTCTTTTGAGTAGAAACTTAGCGGATGAATTTATAACTTATCCTCTTATGTATACTAGGCATTTTCTGATCATCATTCATTTGTGTATGTGTATGAAAAAGACAGTTTAAACTAATTGAAGTATTTTTTGTTAAACTAGTACATTGCACGGGCACGAATTGGTAGTTTTTTTTAATATAAGATAAAAAGTTGAATCACCACAAAATAATTAGTTGAATATTACATTTCTATTTCAAGTCATAATTTCAACTTAATTTAAGAATAAAGTATTCATAAGCCTTTGAAATATGTAATATATGTAAGTCTATTATCTAACATTTTAAAAAGATTGAATCAATAGAGACAAAATGGTTAGTGAGTTAAAATATTTTGAAAGTCACACAAAGATGTACTCCCATAAGTTGAAAGTGATTGTCATGGATAATAACTTCATGCTTAGACACCCCATCCAAAGAGAATTGCCTCTATAGCATGCAAATAAGTAATTCCTATTAAAAATCAAAAGGAGATTCTAAATCAAGAACTAATAATATAAATTGAAAATAATATAAAACTATCAAAACAATATTAAAATATTCATATTCAAGAAATATTTTATGAAGGCAGAAGAAATATAGGAAAGAACTAATAGCCTAGGGTTGCAAACCAACACTTGAAATGTATGCTAGATATGCTTTGGTAGCATTGTATTCAATTATGCAAGACAAAACTTCAAAAATCATATAATCTCTTAAAAGGAATATTATAATACAAAATCATAATATAAATACAAAAAATCAATATCTCAAGCTAATCAATGATATGGTACTCACATATTAAAATGTTAAAACATCCAAGCAATTGGATGACATAGAATGATACTCAAATTTCATTTTAAAAAAAGGGCTAAAGTATGATGAAAATAGAGTAAGAACCAAGGTTACTCCACAACACAAGTGGATGCTTGAATATTTTTGACTATCTCATCACAAGCATAACCTTCTTAGTATTCTTATCTGTTAAAAACTTAATAGTACCTATGCCTCTCTCCTTCTATCAATTCCCAGCAACTTCTCCTCCACCACTATCATGGTCATCACCTCAAAAGGAGTAAAATGCAACTTCTGAGAAATGGATACTATATTCTAAATTCATGAATTGATTATTATAATGGAAAGGAAATATGAAAAAACACTTGAGACAAAAAGAACTACAACAATGAAAAAAGAGGAGAGAGAGGAGTCGAAACAAAACAAAATATGGAACAAAAATCAGAAACCTATAGGCTAGATGAACATGCCATCTCCTTTTCACCATCCATAGATTCAAAGACAGTGTTCTATATCTGGATCTATAGCTCCCTCCTATCCTCTTCATTAAGGCATTGAAAAGTTAGGATGTGGATCTATAAATATTCAAGATAGAGATGATGATGATGAGCCAATGAGGTAAAACAACTAATGGAAACTAACTCTATAACATGCATAGCATCCCATGCTTCTTCTAAATAGGCCTATCCACCCTACCTAGTGACTAACTCGTTCAATCACAATGATAATGGAATATCAAGAAAAAAAATAAAAAGCATTCAATTAGTTAACTCAATTACGAGCAAGGCTAACCTGTCCTAATTGAAAATGAGGCAACAAAGCCTTTATTGTCATCTTCTTAGCTACATGTAAAAAATGGAGCCTCATGGCCACCACCATGGAGAATAATAAAATAAGACTTATAATGTAATCTTGTGCCAGTGGTTTGTAGCAGATAGCCCTGTCATCTTCATCGTCCATGAGAAAGAGGAAAAGGAGGAGTATGCACGGCAACATTAATGGGTATTTAGATGACTGTGATAATTGAATAACTGTCATATCCCCTATTACCATCCCCCACCATGCACAAACATGAGACGCACACTAGTTGCTCCCTCCTGAAATCCTTATTCCTTATGGAGTTAAGATTGAATTAGGTATTTAATATAAAACATAAAATATGTTGATTATCAAAATGGTAATTAGGAAATTTAGTATTTAAGATCATTACTAACAGACAAATATCGTATAACATATAAAATAAGTTCACTATTCAATATATTAAGAAATTGAGTAGTTTCTATTGTTAAAAGTTTTGTAATACTAATGAACAAAATATCTCAACTAATATATTTAAGCTTGTATTTTTTTTTATTAAGCTAATTCATAAAAGGCATAGATTGTTTTTCTAAAAATTAATGTTTTATTTTATTGTAAAATAAATTTAATTCTAAATATCAAAAGTAAAATAATTTGAATTAGCTTTCAGAATAATCTATAAACAAAAAATAATAAATATTTTAGGTATAAACAATAGTTTAGATTTAAGGCATAGGATACTATTTTCAATACATTAATAGACTGACCGAAATTAAATTTCAAGCATAATTAATTTTAAAAAATACTATCAAATTAATACAAATTTCAAATTTTGAACATATATCATGGCCAGTGTATATACCATGATTTTCAAGATTAGAGAAGTTATATCATTTTATTTATTTTTCTCAATTTAAAATATTTGTAGATAAAGGGTATTTTGGTTTTTACAAAAAAAAAAAGAAAAAAATAAGACTCATTATTGGGATAATTGCAATAAATTCCGCAATAATTTAGAATTAATTGAATTAATCAAAAATTATAAATATTGATATATTGAAAAGTTAGTATGAATAACTTAGTCAAGATATAGCAGAAAATTTTTCTCCTCTTCAAAACCACTCAATTTGGGAGGGACGGTAGAGAAGAGGAGGGATGAGGAAAAAGACAATTTTTTACTTTCCCTCCCTTCCTCTCCCTACTCCCAACCAAACACATTTACTCCCTTTCTTTTCTTCCCCTTTCCTTCTCTCCCTTCCAAAAACCCCCCAACCAAACACTAGCTTAGAAACATAGGTAGAAAATGGGTGAAAAATATGACTTTTTTTTTTTGAAGAAAAAAAGAATATTTTCTACTCATAGGTGATGCCTTGTTACTAATAACTTCTGCTTTGTACTTTACTTTTATATAGATCAATTAATTAATAGATTATTAGATTATTAATAACTCTAAGTTTTGTTATATAGAGATAAATTTTCTAATCAATGAAACTTACAATAAACCCATTAATATATTATGCGGATGCATATGATCTTCCTGCAATTAGTTTTCTTTGATAGAAACACTATTTTCAGCAACTATCTAATGTTTGTTTCTCTTTTTTTTTGTTTGACGGTGAAGTTGTCTTGCATCTAAGATTAGAGAGTATTTGTATATCTTTGTGCTCATCCAGCCAATTGCCCATAGTGGTTTAAATTTTAATACTCCTCCTGTTTTTAATATAGGATCTAATTGTTGAGTTGGTTTTGATCTTAAATATAAAATCCATTTATCATATTTATCAATTTTCTCTAAATTACCCCTATGGATACTCCCTCAACCATAATCAAGTAGAAGAGGAAGATAGGGTATTAAGAAAGATAATTATGGTATTTTAGAAAAAACATGTCAAATTTCTTATAATGAACTAACTTACCTAATTTTCTTAATCTAATCAAATTAGTTAAATGAGTCTTATATTAAGGATTGGAGGAGTAGCAAAACAGAATAAAGTTAGATTTTCAGCTAAAAAAAGGAAATATCATTACTATTATGTAATAATGTGCCACTTTTGTATTTTTCTGGTTCCATAATGTTGTGTTGATTTTTTGCCAACCATAATGTTGTGTTGATAGAAAAATATGTGGTTGATACGAGTATTTAAGTAAGTTACTGATATCTAATAATTTTGTCCTTTTAAAGAGTTATTTTGTTATTTATACTTTACCATTGCTAAGATAAACTCTCAATTATACTAACTTGGATCTTTAATATAATATTCGAGTTAATTTATTTAAAAAGATTGAGAAAATTAAATAAATTATTTTTTAAATATTTATATTTATTATTTTTTCAAACCAAATTTTTTAAATTATAAACAAATACTACCTTAATTCTTAATATAAGAACTAATTTGATTTTTAAATTGATCCTAAATATAAAACTTTAATATAATTTATCTTTCTCATATTTAGCTATTTTTCTAATGTAGTTATTAGAGTAGTTTTTTTTTTTTTGAATTACAAGTTATCATAGTAGTAATACACATTAAGAGTTTCACCAATTGATAGCTTTAGCTAACAGTACAGCAAGTTTATTTAAAAAAAGCATTTACTCATAACAAATTAGTAGCCTGACTAATTTATTTAGTAAACTAGTTTTTATATTAAAAACAGAAAGTAATATATAATATGTGATCATAAACATATAATCTAATATTAACCCAAAAAAATATATATAATCTAATGATACATTTAAATATTTCATATAGATCATATAATATAAATTATAATTAAATAATTTATTTAACTTATTTAATCTCATTTTTATTGAAATTTTAATGTTAATATAGGCACATATATCTCGTGGCCAAAAATAAAAAGGCAGAGACATCCATGTCAATCGATCCCCACCCCCTTCTCCTTTTTTTTCCCCCAACCTAAGTTTTATAAGTTAATTTTTTACCTCAATTTATTGTTGGTTAATTTTAAGAATATCCCAATTTGGTTTCAATTTTAATCATCTATGGCGAAAAACAAAAACAGGTGGAACCTATCCGAAGAAAATTTCGATGCGTCGCTGGTGGCAAGAACTTAGTCTTCCTCGTTGAATTCTTAGTTGAAGGATCTGAATTTCTGAATGCAACTGAAGATGAGAGCTCCTTCACGGTACCTCTTCTTCCGATTTCCTGTTTTTTTTGCAGCTTCTACGCCTACCTTCCTTACATCTCCTTCATATGCCCTAACCCTCCGCCTCTGTTTACATTCTACAAATCCTCAGAATATTGAAGAGGCTATCTCTTCTTTTAATCACCTGGTTCATGTGCGCCCCCCCTCTATATTCCAAATCACTAAGATCTTAGGATATGTTGCGAGGTTGAAACAATATCCTACAGCTATCTCCCTTTTTGCACAAGCGGAATCTAAGGGATTCACGCCATCTCTGGTAACGCTGAACATCTTGATTGATTAATTGTTACTGTCATTTGGGTCAAATGACTTTTGGTTTCTCTGCCTTAGGCAAGATTCTTAAGATGGGCTGTCAGCCAGATACGATTTCTTTGACCACACTTATGAAGGGCCTTTGCATCAATAATGACGTTGGAAAGGCCCTAGATTTTCATGATGATTTGATAGCAAAGGGTTTTCAGTTAGGTGTAGTTAGCTATGGCACAATGATAAATGGACTATGTAAGGCCGGCAAAACGAGAGTTGCCGTTAAATTGCTCCAAAAGATGACGAGAAGGCCAGTTAAGCCTGATTTAGTGATGTATAATATGATTATTGATGGATTTTGCAAAGAGGGACTGACAACTGAAGCCTATGATTTATTTTGTGAAATGATTGATCGTGGAATATCTCCTAATGTCGTGACCTACAGCTCTCTCATACATGGTTTTTGTGTCATGGATAAATGGCCGGAAGCAGTAAAATTGTTTAATGAGATGAGACTTAAAGACATCAACCCTAATGTTTATACTTTTAGTATATTGGTCGATGCATTTTGTAAGGAAGGAAGTATGACTAAAGCTGAGGCTATTGTTGCCACGATGATGAAGTGCGGTGAAAAACCTAATGATGTTACTAACAACAGTTTAATGGAAGGGTACTGTTTGATGAATAATGTTTTTGAGTCAAAAAGACTGTTCAACAAGATGGTCGGAAGTGGTTTGGCTCCTTGTGTTATTAGCTATAACATTTTAATTAATGGACTCTGTAAAATGAAGATGGTTGATGAGGCCATGAGTCTCTTTAAAGAAATGCACCGTAAAAGCTTTACTCCCGACATTGTCACTTACAGCTCCCTTGTTGATGGTTTGTTCAAGTCAGGTAGAATCTCTGATGTGCAAGATATTATTTATGAGATGCATGATAGAGGTTGTGCCCCAAATATAGTATTTTATAGTACCTTGTTAGACGGATTGTGCAAAAGTCACCATCTTGACCAGGCAATTTCATTATTCAGGCAAATTGTTAAACAAGGAATTCGGCCTAATACTTACACATATACCATACTTATTGCTGGTTTGTGTGAGGGCAACAGATTAAACGATGCACGACAGATTTTCCAACATCTTTTGGTTAATGGTCATCCTTTGAATGTCCAAGCATACACTGCTATGATCAAAGGACTTTGTAAAGAGCATTTGTATGATGAAGCAAAGGCCTTGTTTCATAAAATGCAAGAGAACGGGTGCTCGCCTAATGTTTTAACTTTTGAAACAATTATTATGCCTCTTTTGGAGAAAGGTGAGAATGATGAGGCAAAGATTCTGATTGACGAATTATTCATCAAGGTCTCTTGAAATGATAAAAGAAGGTTAGTCACTCTACTCCAAATTTGTGTTAGTTGTGTTCATGGTGAAAGGATTTGACAAATTTGTTTTTTGGGAAAAATTTGTTTGCTGTACTGGCTGATTGCAATTTAATATCTTTTTAGTCATATGTTTCATACATATATATATACATATTACTTTTGGTTTTACGTTTTTTTTTTTTCCGCTTGACATGAGTTTGATGCACCGCACTCACAGTCATGAGCATCTATCACCAAAATGACACCTAGAATTCCTCTCCTTTCTATAGTAATTCCATCAAATCATAGCACCAAACGTACTTCACTCTAATAATTCCTCTCCACTCTCACCTTTAGTTGCTTAATTTCATTAGTTTTGCAAACGCATCTATGTCAGAAAGAAATATATAAGTTACCACTTGTGGTTTTTGTTGGAGCAAATCTGCACTTTGGTTGTGCCTTAATATCAGATGAACGTGCTGCTGCTTGTTCTTGGCAGAAAGCAGTTGGTCGCCAAGCTCCAGAAGTGGTCATCATTGATCTTGACAAGACATTAAAGACAATTATTTTAGATGTTCTTCCTAATGCTCATCACTCTACGTGCTTATGGCGTGTATTAGTGAAGGTGTCTGAAAATCTGGCTCGTGTACTTAAGCAACATGAGAATTTTGTGCCAGAATTTGAAAAATACATCTAAAGGACAAATGATGAGTTTGAGAAGAGGTGGTGAAAAATTGTTGATAGGTTTGAGCTCTGAGAGGGTGAATGCATGCAGTCATTGTATGACAGTTGTAACGTGATACAGAATGCCTGTTGTTTTTTTTATGGATTTTGTTAATAAATGGTACAAGGTTTTAGTGTTAAAAGATCTTGAAGAGATTGTTGTTTGTATTGCAGTTTGATTCTTTAGTCTACAAGTTAAGTTGTAATCAGCATCGTAGTTTGTAATAAAAAATTGGGAGAATTGCAATCAAGTCCCGTAAAAGAAACATAATTACTAAAAAATCTCAATAAAAACCTAAACAGTCTGTAATGACAAGTTTCAGAGAGGAAAATGACAACTTCTAACTTGTCATTAGGACTTGTTGGTAGTTATTTTTCTTTCTTGGGAGCCTTATTAAGTCTTGACAAATTACATTCATATACTATTTGATACCTTGGTTCTATTGGATAAGCATATAAAAGGGTTGGTTCAAGGACTTATTTTTGGGTTTAGCCTGGCTTCCTCTTCCTCCTCCTCTTCTTGACTGTGTGTTTTTGTACAAGCATCTATTTCATGGTCATCAACGTTGGAAATTGGATGTACGAGTGACAGCTTTGAGCATGAGTGGTCATTAAGAAGCTGTCACTTCCAAGTAAGCTTTAATGTTAATGGTTTTGGTAGTAACAAGCCTAAGGCACTCTAGTAACTCAAGGAAGCATTCCTGCTTTTCCGTTTAATTTTTGTTGAACTTATAGAGGCATGATTGGGTGACCACAATAATCAGCCTTGCCTTACCTTACCTCATTAAATGGATTCAGTTATATAAATTGCATGATGCTATACGGCTCTATAGACATATTATTTATAAGGGATTCAGTTCAATTGCTTCCTTCAGCATCTTGATGAGCTTTTCTTAGTTTCACAGGATTGAAGATCAGTGGCCTGCTTTCTGCCCCCTCCACCTCTTGAAAATATCTAAATCACGTTAATCAATTTTTTCAAGTACAAGGATCAAGTGATAATTGATAAGTACTCCTCGAGTGCTATTTATAGAATTTTTATTTAAATATGCAGTCTTATCTTTTATTTATTATTATGTTAACTTTATTTTTACGTAATATATTGTATATTAAATAGAAATAAAATTAAAAAATTATTGAATTTTAATAAATACTTGCTCTATAAAATGAAAGAAAGAGGACCTGATGTTGTAGCTTTTAAAGCACTTATTATAGCTGTTTTGAAAAAAGGTGAGAATAATGAGTCAAGGAATCTTGTTGACGAGTTATTCATCAATGTCTTTTGAAATGATACAAAAAGGTTAGTCGCTCTACTCCAAGTTGTGTTATTTGTGTTCATGACGGAAAAATTTGAGACTTGCTTTTTTTAAGGCAAAAAAAGTTTAACTGTACTCGCTGGTTGAAATTTAAGGTTGTTTTTTCAAGTCGTATGTTTCATATATATTTATTTTGTACTTTTATTGTAACTGGTGGTTTTTTTTTTTTGGCATGACATGAGTTTGATGCGACAAACAATAAAATGTTTTACGTACCAATGAAGTTGTGCACCGAACAATAAAATTTGGTCATATTAATGTTTCAAGTCTATATGAGGAATATTAAATATTTTAATAAGTTATTCTGAAAAGTGACTATCCGATTTGGCAATACAAGATTATTTTTTAAATCTTTTTGATAGTCTATTTTACTAATTAGTTTTGAGAGGCATACTAGCTGCTTTTCTCTGGCCATTTAATATTGCAAAAAAATGGAAATTGGGAGACACTACTCAAATTATATGTGCCATACGCACACTCTTTAAATTTTCTTTTTCATTTTAAATTTAAAAAATTATTAGCTTTTCACCATGGATAACAGCTTTTTTCTTCTTCTTTTTGGTACCAGCCAAATAAGAAGAACATCCGCATCTATTTCTTTCCCCGAAGGCACAGGGCTAATGCCTTCTGACTCGTTGACCTAATCCATATTGACATCTAGCCGGTGATTTAATTTTATATAAGATTTTAATTGTATTTTATAATTTTAAAAATATATTTTTAGTCCTTCTACTCTAAAATTATAAAAAAAGATAACGTTATAATTTTGAATGATAATAAAATATTCTCACTAATGATTTTAGAAATAAAGAACTAAAAATACATTTTAAAGTTAAGGGGCAATATGATAAGAATCAAATATACATTTTTACCTAAATAAAAATAAAAATGTAAAAATATTCAAATATAAAACATAAATTCAAAAAGTCTGTTTGTTAAATCTGTGTGTAAAGCAAAATAATAATAATAATAAAGTATTCCAATTGTCCATATTGATTTAAATTTAATAACAAACATAATAATGTTATATTTTCATGTAAAAAAGAAAGTCTCATGAATATTTTTAATATGGCATTACTTTTATATTTTAATACAAGTATTTAAATAAGTTAATTTTCCTCTCGTCCTTAATATAGGACATAATTGAGAGTTAATGTTGGTTCTATATATAAGACTTATTTCACATGTTTATCAATTTTTTTTAAATTAACCCTATTAATATTCATCAACATAATCAAGTAGGAGAAGATGGAGAGAATTAAGAAGATGATTAGATTTTTAGAAAAAAAATATCATATTAACTAATTTAACTAACATCCTTAATATATTAAAATTAGTTAATTAGATTTACATTTAGTAGTGGAGAAGTATCTACTAATTTTCTTCTCTAAAGGGTCATTTTGTCATTTATATTTGATTATTGCTATAGTAAACGATTGATTTAGTATTTGATTGATATTTTAATGCGGTCAAAAATAAAAATATAAAATACTGACATCCATGTCAATAACACGATTTCTGCTCCCCTTTTTTGGATGAAATCAAAATGATATAAATTTTAAGCTAAAATATATATTTGTGTTTTTTTTAATTTTATAAAATATTCTATTTGGTTTTTTAACTTTAAAAATATACTTTTAGTCATTTAATCTCAAAATTGTTAGTTTTAAATAATAATTTTTTGTAACAGTCATTCTTGTTTTGAATGTTAAACTTAAATATGGCAGTTAGTAATGTTTTGTCAACATTCAAGAGCTTAGTGCCTGTTTGGTTAAGTGGTAGGATCTCAAATAAGTCCATTTTAAATCCAAACAAGTGATATGAAGCACGTTTGAGTTGTTTGGGTAATTTTCATAAATCCCGATAAATCGTGATTTTAACCTCCTACTGTACTTTTAAATAAGCAATAAAAAGTAGCTTATGCGTTTGAAAAATCTCAATCAATCTTCAGAATTAAATTTTCTCTAATATACCCTTTGCTTATTTGGTGCCTCTCTCTATCCATCCACTCCTGACGCACATCTTTTCCGGAAGCAGCCATACTAATAATCATTCTAATGGTAATTATTTTAATTATTTGTTTTTTAAAAGCATACAATATGAAACTGTTTTTCTTTTAATTTTATCTAAAAGACATTAAAAAAAATCAGATAAAACTTGGATGGATGAATACACATGATTGGAAACAATAAGATGAATATTTTGATTGGATTTTGATTGGAGAGAGCATCATTAAAGAAGAAAATAAAAATAATATTTAAATATTCAAGTCATTTATTAAATTATATTTAATAAAATTTATTATAAATATAAACAACTTTATTAACTTCATCCCTTTTAGTAATTATACATCTATAAGTAATTTTAATAAATGAAAACCAAAAATAATCACATTCTCAAAATCACTATATAACAAAAAATCCAAACAGAAATTATGATTAACAGTATCACTTATAAAATTCACGATTATTTAAATCACAGTTGTTCATTGTTAATCCAAACGGGCCCTTAATATTATCATTTTTTTAACAGTGTTAGGATTAGATGACTAAAATTTATTTTTTAAAGTTAAAGGATCAAAGTAAAACGTTATGTAAAGTTAAAAGACTAAAGCATACTTTATCTAAATTTCAAAGTGCCTTGCTTCGCTTACTTTTCTTAAAC